GGACTCCCCGCTCTTGGATGTCTTCGCTTGGAGTATGGGTATTGGCCGGCCGACACCATCATGCCAATACTTCCCGGTCTCCTGGAACTTGATCTCCATAAAGTACTTTTTGATTCTCCGCTGCACATGGCCGCGCTTTTCTCGCATTTTCCACGACTCCAGAAAGCATCCTTATGCCCAATCTTCCGAGAACGGTCCGCGGTCCCGATATCGCATTTTCCCGAGGCTCCGCGCACCCTCGAGTGTCTACGCCTGCACTTGAGCGATTCTCCTCCTCCATTTGATCAAGTAGCCCTTTGGCTTTGCGCCCAAGAGACGCCCCCATCTATCCGGGTCCTCGAACTCGGCTTCCTGGACGCCCGAAGTCTTCCCTCCGTCGGGAATCTCCTTCGCGCGCTCGGTCCCGATCTGAATGACCTTGATTTAAGGCTGATGTACCACGTCAACTTCGGTACGTTTGCATATCCTCTTACGCTCTACACGATTTTCTCAACGTTTTCAGACGACATCAAGGCGCACATCGACCTCTCGCGGAACACCAATCTGCGCAACCTCACCATCCACCTGAGCCTCCGCCGCTTCCAACGCCCCTCCTCGTTCCACGCGCCGTGGGCCCTCCTCGGGTTGCCGCACTCTCCCATCAGCACCCTCACGCTCGTCCTCTCCATCGAAACGCTGGACCTCATCGACAATCTCGACTGGGCGTTCCTGAACACCGCGCTGGGCTACCCGCATTTCGACGCGTTGGGACGGCTGTGCTTCATCGTGCACTGCTTCTCGTCTGTGATAGATACCAATATGATGGAAGAGGCGATCCGGGCGCGCGTGCAGACGCACGTCGGGATCGTAGAGGTTAGCTTGGTGCATACGTCGAGGGTGTTTACGCACGGTGAGTGAGGACTGAATCTGCCGTACATCACATGGTGCTGACGCTTTGTTTGCAAAGGCACTTGGCAAGCCAGTTAACTAGAGCGATGGTATGGGTATAGGTAATTCAACCGAACCGTATAGTGGATGTGTCAGCTTGCTGTAGTCGTAAAGATTATCCTACCTTACTCGAAAATCGTGACGCTAGCCCAAAATCTAGGTGGAGCCAACACAGGCCCAAAACGTTTCCGGAACGCAGTTCGATACGATAAGATTGTGCAGTGATTGCGGACCCCCCCCCCTCCCTTACCTACAATCTAAGCTGGACACATCTCACTCTGACTATTGTCCGTCTCCTGTCTCTGCAATGCTACTTGATGCTACTTTTCCAATCGACTCAAAAAAAAAAGGGATCTGGGCCACTCGGTTCGTCTGGCCGCCTTGGATTTTTTTCCCCCTCATCCTCATGCGGATCCATGGTGTAGCGGTCATCGCGTCACGTTCACCCAGCATCCACCCCGATGATGTAGAGTGTAGGTTGCACATTCTTTACAATCTTGCTCTATTACTTATTCTTAGACAGACTTCGAACTGAGCGCATGATCTGTGCTTCTCAGCAGCGCGCGGCTCTTATGTCTGAGACGTCCCCGACGCCGGCCAAAACTACTTACAAAGTTCTAGTTCCCCATTTTCCGTCCTTGAAGTTCTGGCTGGCTCACCCAGATTTGCAGCAGAGTCAAAGCCCACGAGCCATTTGGATGTTTCCACCCAACCGAGTGCATAAGAAGAAAAGAGAAAGCGAGCCTGTCTGCGGATGTCAACTTTGAATTCCATAACAGACAGTGATTTCCGCTTGCATGGACGCGTCCCGGAAGCCAAGAACTCCGACGCGGTATACAAGGCCCGCCCATGCCCTTCTGTCCCCTGTTCCCGGGCCTGCCGGCGACCATCACCTTTTCTTAGTCCACCTCTAATTCTTTCTTGTTATTCACCATGGTCCTAATGTCCAAACCCCGGCTCAAAGGAGCAGATCGCGTGAATCAGATGCGCGCCGATAACCCCGCTGGATGCCATGTTTCGGGAGGGATTGTAAATACCTATCACTTCAAGGCTCTGGAGGCGCATGCACGCGTGCTCGGCAAATGGCGCGACTTTGTTGGTTACCAGACAAAGTACCCCGATCTATCGAGCGAGATCGAAGTCGGAATTCAGGAGATCCCTCAAGGTTTGTGGTGAATATTCTGATGACAATGTTTCTCATTCACTGGCATGTCAGAAGCCATGAAGATGTTCATGCTGTATCCGATGGCGTCCGTGCTCGATGACAATTCCACCGGCGGCACTCTCCTGAGTCTCCCCAACTATCTGAATGTCTTCATTGCGTACCTAGTCCGACATGTGAACAATTCCGTCCCCACATCGGTCACCAAGGAGCTCCGTGCTTTCGTCTACTTTAAAGACATCGCCGCCGTCGCACCTTGGTCCACCAAGCAGCGAGCGAAGGCGGTCCCGGGTGACCCACCCCAACCCATGGCGTCTTCTAGTGCCAAACGTGCACGTAGCCACTCCGTGCATGACACGACCCATCTTGGTGCGCTATACGCATTAACTTATGCTCCACAAAGGATGGCTCCGACGAAGAAGAAGGTGCGGCAGGATCATCCAGCGGCGCAGTGAAGAAACGCGCGCGGCTCGAGGGCGGTGGATTGTCGGTGCCTCTCCTCGATTTTTTAAACCATTGGTATCCACTCATACTCGTTCGGTACAAGGACGGCGCCGGTGACGTTCCTTGCTCAATAAAATGATTCGCCTCGTACGTCCTCTCATTCAGACAATTCACGTCTCGTTAAGATGCTTGTCAGGACAACTTGAAGCGTCCGCTGCGTCCCGACCCCGTGCGTTTCTTGTAGGAACTGTATTTCTCGTCAAAATAACTCTCGATGCGCTCAAGGTCCCTCTTCCCGTATGTTCCTTCTCTTTCTGTCTATCCCACAATTTTACATCTTCTCCTAGGGGTATCTGTAGGTATCTGTGGATTCTGTGCAACGGCTGCACATTTGAGTTTGATGCAGAGGGCCTCGCCGCTCATTTTGCCCAGCTCGCTTCAAAGCGTGCCAATTCACCATGCAAGATCGCATGCGTGACTTGTGGGACACAAATGGAGGACGGAGGTCCTGAATTGGCAGACGTCGGCGTAGCGTAGAATAACGAAGCAAATTCGTGGTGGTACATAGAGCGATGTTTTGGGCTAACATAGGTTGTGCGGATCCATGGTGTAGCAGACTTAGCCGAGTGGCTTGGCTGAATGGCTTGCGCCGCTTAGCGGAGTTTGAATTTGGCTTGGCGGGCGTGGGCTGGCGTGGCTTGGGCGTGGGCGTGGCTTGTGCTCGGCTACGCTATATATTTCACTGTAGGAGTTTCTTCAATTTCTTCATATCTTTTGCCCGCCATCCTCCCTCTCCTTCATGGTCATGTTCACAACATCCCGATTAACGGCCTTGGCTGCCGTGGCTGCTCTTTAACACTGTTCTTCAGCTCGCTGTTATTGTCCCCAAACCAACTGGCACTTCCAACAACTCGAGACCTGTATAACAACATCAACATGTCAATCAACCCCCGCCGCCGTCGCAGTCACATCACGCTCACCCCAGGGGAAGCGTGATGTGACCATGCCATTTGATACTGTCTGGTTCCATCAACTAAATTCTGGCCCAAAATATACCTACAGGATAAAATAGTGTATGTGAGTGCTTTCGGAATGCTCCAGAGACTCATTCATCGATCTTTCACTGCACTTGTCGTTGCAAGCCACACGCCCGCCCGGTTTGATGGCATCAGGCAGAATGGCTTGTGATGGCTTAAGCCATGTTCAACCGCTCTCAAAACAAGGTTAGTTGTCTTTGAAATCTTTTCTAGATGGCAGTATAGACTCATTTGGGGTGCAGGGTCATGTTTTTAAGGCCATAACTGCCTGTACTTGGTATATCCCATCGCAAGCCGTGCCCCGCCCAGTTTGATGCCATCAGGCAGAATGGCTTGTGCACGCCATTTGGCAGGCGGTGGGTGTGGGGTCAAATTCAATGGCACTGAGCATTCTAGCAGTCTTGGTGAGTGTATATATATGACAAGCACCGATTTGACGATGTTTAAAGTTCAACATAAGGAAAAATACACCCACGCCAGATACAAGCCAGTCTGTCGGCAGAATGGCTTGTGACATGTTCAACCGTTCGCAAATAAATCCAATTAGCTCTGAATCCTTCTCCAGATGGTAGCAGGGGTTAGTTCATAGACCATGGACATGGTTGTGCTTTTTGGTCGCAAGCTGTGCCCCGCCCAATTTGATGGCATCAGGCCAAATGGCTTGCGCCCGCCGTTTTGATTGAGATGAAGAACAAAGCTTCCTCACATGTTATCCCCTTGAACTAACCGCTTTACCCACTGAAAATGTCTATTCCATCTATTCTAATCAATGATTTGAGCCATATATTCGATATTTTTACTCAGGACTCAAGTTTCAACAAAGTCAAGCAAGCACTGTTTAGTGCAACAGATGATGTTCAGAGAAGCTGATGCCTATCTTTATGGTTATAAAAACATAACCTAGTCATAAAAACAGAGAAACTTGGCTTACTGCACCGGTAACAATCCATGAGTCATAAATGTGCCAAGTTCAAAACTAGTTTGATGAATATATCTGTATCGCCAACGCCACTGGAAAAAATTGCTGTGCCAATATATGCTCAGAGGTCCAACATAGTGGTGGGGCCTCCCAAGCCGGTTGGCTTGCCTTTGGAATGAAAGTTGAACTCACATTTAATGGCAGCAATGAGCAGCATTCGGCAGGATGCGGATGAATATGCGAGCATTGTGGTACAGCCCTAGGGGAGGACAACAGTGACCGATATATCATAAAAGATTGAGCACTGGAGGCTCCACCAGCGAGCAGAGTGCGCAAGCCACTTCTCGATTTTGGCTGATGCCAAGCCGGCAAAATGGCTTGCCAAGCCAACAAAATGGCTTGCAAGCCATTCGGCCGGGCGTGGGCGGGTGATGCCAGTCAAAGCCACGCCCCCGCCCAAAACAAGCCATTTGGCGCAGGCGCAAGCCATTTAGCCAAGCCAAAAACGTCACTCTCCATGGTGTAGCGGTCATCACGTTTGCTTTACAGAGTTCCGGCTGTGCGCAAAAGGTCGTGAGTTCAATCCTCGCTGGGTTCAATTTTTGTCGCCCTGACCTTGCTTGAATGGTCCCCTACAACACAGAAGACCCGGTACAAGTTCCTGCTTGTCGTCCGTCCGCCGAGTCTGTGCCCAATACCCCTCTCGCAATCAGTAGCGCCTGTACTGGAGCCTCGAAACACACAGTGAGTGTCTGCGCTTATCTCTATTGTATGCTCCGATCTTTCAGGGTTCCAGGAACCTGGAACGATACTGACTCTTCCTTTGTTACTTTTTCTCGGTTACGCTGTACGGCATTTACGTTCTATACACTTGCTGCCTAGGATCAGTAACACCAAGGTACGCGACTGGCCAAGAGACTTTGAATCCGGAGACTATAACTTCCGCAATGCAGTTCTGTTTGCCATCTCTCAAAAAGCAGATTTAAATGTGTCCGATGAAGTACGGAGACAGTCAGGTATGTACTACTGTAGTAATCCGACCAACTGTTCACTGGGTGTCACCCGTCACCTAGAGTGTTCACTGGGTAAGGTGTTCATTTGTTGGCAATCACAAGAGAATTACTATATATGGTAGTCCGGCGCTAGCCGGACCGAAAATTTTGACACTTCTTTGCCTATTTTGGACAGAAATCCTTGCCATCACCGTCACCGACACCAAAAGTGTTCAGTTCAGAGGCCGGCGTCACGTGTTACCTGAACAGTTGGTCGGATTACTACAGTAGTCAAGGTGCGCGAAGTTGACGCAAGCCTCGGGGCCTCGAAAATCCGGAACGCAGTGCATATTCAATGTGATTCCGGCGTTCGTAACGGAAATCGGGGTATAAAACACCTCGGGACTGACCACTTTAAATTGTACTTCAATCTCTTCTCCTTCAATTTGCAAACCTACTGAAACAATGATGCGCAAACCTCTCTTGCTCACGGCAGCGGCAGCTTTCTATGCGACCACGGATACTGTATGAGTCCAAGATCACTCAGTCGTCCGAGAGATTGAGGATAATGGAAGTCTCTGTCGACGGAGTCTGCAAGGTGCGTAGCTCAAACACATGATACGTCCAATCAGTGGCACTGGTCGCCAGGACCGGTGTCGAGACATAATTGGTACTCGAGGACGGGTCAACAGGTGTATCGTTGAGCTGAGGGTTGCCTTAGCGCTTTGTCCCTCCGGTTTTGGCAGGGGTGCGAAAAACAAATTCAGTGAAGGAATCATGGATGCGGTTGTTGAATGGTCCAAAAAAATTAACCTGGGCTCAGGGAGGCGGATTTGGCTAAATACATATGTATCATTCAAGCAAGTTGTTGTGTATTGGGTGGCAGAGCAGTGGCGGGGACCGTCTGGATGAAAGTGAAAGGTTCAGTTCGGGGAAAACGAAATCGAGGATGGTGAACATGCCGTAAATACAGCAGCGACAGCGAAATTCAGTTCCATGATGTTTTGTAGTCCCAACGATCAATTTCATCAGTCGCCTCCATTCCCTCCAGCAACAGAAGATCCAACCCTTCCTCACGCAGTGCATGTAGGCCAGAAATTGTTGCCGATTCTGGTTTGGGTCCGTCTGCTACGAGTAACGCAGCACTCTTGAGGGCGCAGTTCTCGGCAGTGCACCGGGATTTCAACATCTCGAGATAGGCCATGTAATCGAGATGATTCTCGTCTTCACATCCGAAGAATATGAGAAGTAAATGTGGAGTGATCGATACACCAGTAAGGGCCAAGATCAAGGTGTCGATCTTGTCCCTTCGTTCGGCGTCATCATGGACAACTAAGAGCTCGGTTATGGAGGGGCAGCATTGTAAGAGTTTGGTAGTTGTATGAGCCGCAGGAGATACGAGGCATATCCGTCGAAGAAAACATGAAGAGTGGTTGAGGAAAGATTGGAAAGGCGGAAGAATATCTTTGCTGTCTGAGCCTTCCACAAGTGCCAGCCCATCTAGGGCAGGGACCTTGAAGCACTTCAAGGCTACCGGATTTGAGATGTATAAGCGTCGAAGACGCAACAAATCAACGGTTTCGAGAGAATCTGGCCAGCGATGTTCCTCGAAATCAATGCTGATGCGGGCTTCAACAAGGTTGGGAGTCTGCTTTAATATGCGCATATGTTCGTCCAGCGGGCAGTCTGGTTTGTAGCAGGTGAGGGTGAGCTGGTGGACCGGAAGCAGGGTTGGTACGAAGCAAAATTCGTTAAAGATACCGATGTCGACCAGTGAACACGCCGTCTGGAAGCAGTCGATGGACGCCACTCCTTGATCTGGGGGATGGTTCCACTGAATCCATGATCTGCATAGAGATGGAAGTCGATCACGAAGTGCCCCCAAAGCCGGTACCAGTTCGGAAGCTAATCCAAGACTGAGTTCCTCCCAGCGTAAGGAGTACTGTGAAAGCATTTTAAACGTATCAACGGCGCGAGGATCCATTCCCTGACTAGCATAAAAATGAATCTTCAGTTGTCGAGAGTAGCCGAGTTGTACCTTGATCAGGGACAGAGAATATGGACTGTGGTTTTGGGAATAGTCGATGATAATCCGCGACCATAAGGAAGGGGTAGAGAGAGCGATCGCTCTCCAACGACTGCTGACCTGCGTCAACAGCCATGGGGTCTGCCCCATGTCCAATTTGTCCACGTCTTTGATTGGGGGCAAAGTCCACGAAAATATTTCGCGAAGCAGTTCTGGTGGCATCCTCCGAAGCACAGAGAGGATAGTATTATTCCGGGCACGATAGCTGAACAACGACGTTCATTCTCCCTCCAATCGTGCTAGCTTCTCCCGTAGGTTCGCGATCTCATCGTCAAGAGATGTCAAGGATGACTCGATCTTCAACACGACAGACCGAAAGAAAGTCAGCTCTGACTCATCGGGTGGCTTGTTGCTGTTCAGGAGCACGCGGTGCCGTGTCCCAGGTGCGGCGGGCATGTCAAATGACCCAAATCCAAGTCCTTTTAACGCCCCGCATTCCGAGCACCGACTGGGAGACACGAGCTTCTGAGATTGAGAATGAGCATCATATGGGCATACACACAGCAAGAAGCTCACCGACTCGATGTCAGAATTCATCTGTTATTTAGAAAACAAGGATCGGGTTGGGAGAAAGGAGCCGGTCACGGGCCTGATCACGCTTTGCGTGTTCGGCGATCACCGGCCGAGTTCAAACTTAACGTTTTAGAAAACCCCAGAACCTGGGCTTGCTGATTGTTAGCGTTGGAGCCTCAGTTACGGAGCAAAGAAGTAACTCTATTAGTAGTCTACCTGTTAGCGTAGGACTACAATGTAATTAGTGCTTGTGAATAAAATGAGAATATAATAAGTACGCACGCCTCAGTTACGGAGCAAAGAAGTAACTGAGGCTAACCGAGTATTGTAAACTGTAAAGTACTTCAGAATGACGGGATGACAACGGTGCAAGATCTCACAAGCGCAAGAAATCAGACTCCAGCTCGCGCAGCGGCACTGCGCGTTGCAACGCAGAGGCCGGGACTCAGATCGCCCGCTGTGTCGACGCCCTCTCCAACGTCCTCGCAAAGCCCGTTGTCACCACCGAGGACATGTCCCATGTCAACAAGGTCGTCGAGATTCTCAAGGACAATACACTACTCCCTCCAGACCCTCGTGGGCAGTACTTCCGTGTTGTCTCTCGGGAGCTTGCAGCCAGCCCTGCTCTCTCACACATCTTGATTGTCGAGAAAGATCACACCCGTCACAAAGCGCTGCTCGAAGGAATCCTCGAAGATGCGGGTATCATCATTCCTACCAACGACGATGCCGCTGCTGCTGCTGCCGTTATCGGACCTGTTTAGATTGTTGGCTCATAGCTCTGTACTTCTGTTTCTCTCATCGCATCGGATTTGCTGTCATACATCCTCACACGCATCGCATTTTGTACTTCCATACATCAATCACAAGCTGTTCTATTGCAAGTCGGGGTGGTCTAAGATGTACTTGTCCCACATTGCCTGAGCAATCGCATCTCGACGTGCATCCGCACGCGACCTTTCTGCATTCAACAGCGCAGGGGCTGGTGGCGCTTCGTGTACAGCGTCCGTGTTTGCAAAGAACGGAAGACCTTCGACATTGTATTCTTTGTCAGCCTCTAGATCATCAATGCCCGCATGCACATGAAGGAAGTTGTGCAATGCCCCCGCTGCATTCACCATCAACGCCTGCTGCCGATAACCCATCTCTGGAGCCGATGTGAGGACCCGGAAACAACACTTTGTTACACCGAATATGCGCTCGATGATATTCCGCAGCTGCGCATGTCGTAGATTGAACAGTTCTTCCTTCGTCTGCGGCCTAGAAATTGTTAGTTGATATATATTGCGGAAAGACAGATGATTACTGTTGTCCCCCACGTTTCCATTCGTTCAGATGATACCGAATGCCGCGGTATGGAGTGAGCAGAAGGTCACAGTTGGGGAAACCAGTGTCCGCGAGGTAGTAGCATCCTTCAGGTAAGGAGAACCCATGCTGCCGCGCGCAGTTGAAAAGAAGTCCATCGGCGGCTGTTCCTTCGTATCCAGCCATGATGTAGACAAATCTCATATTGAAGTCACAAGCGGCAAAGCAATTCTGGCTGATATCTCCGTGGCGGTCGCGGTAGCGAAGTATGTCGCATGCGAGTGCAAATGAAGAGACATGGACACTGTCGACTGCTCCCCGACAGTACTTGAAGAAGGGGTACCACCTAGAGTTCCTGAAAATCTTCTCGGGGATCTCGTTGACCGGGTCTCTGACGTATCTCTCGTAGAACGAGCCCGTGAGGAGTAGAAGACCCTTGTTTAGATATCGGCTGATGGTGTCGGCTGATCTCTGGAACTGCTCCTGGAGCTCCCATTGGCTACTCCCATGGACCATCCAGTAGATGAATATAGCAAGCTGCTCTTGTGCCGTGATGTAACGGCTGTCGCCGAGGTCTCCCGTCGATGCGAGTTCGGCCCAGAGCAAGGCGAACTGCAATGCTGACATGCCGAGTTCTCGATGGCAGCGCGCAGGATGGCCGAGTAGTACTTCGTCGAGCCAGGTAAGACCACTGAGAATTGA